TTTCAGAATCCTTTGGTTTCAATAAAAGATTATTAAGTAGAAATCAGTGAGCATTTTTAGTAGTTCACAAAGTCATTTCCAAATAAATCCTCATCCAATATGTATGATATGAAATTTCTACATAGGAGTAGGACTACTAGACACCCATTAATTTTGTGAGCTCCCTAGTTCCCAATCAGAAGGAAACCAACAGAGCCACTTTCTCAAATCAGAGATGTTTTCAAAGAATTCAAACACCAATCTCCTAAAGTCTTGATATCTAGGCCTAAAGAGCACAGGCCTACAGATTAGATCCAAATTCACCAAACAATCTGCTATAGGTTCCCCACCCTTTTTAAAAACCTCATGATTTTCCACCCTCTATAAACTACAGTGAGTGGTGCAGAAGGGATACTGAGCAAACAAGACTGAACAAGTATATCATGGTCCCACCAACAATATGTGAGCCCATTCCCACTCACCTAACAAACAATATACTTCCATGACTTCTAAAATCATAGAAGAAGCTTCTACAAGGATTATCTCTTAAACAGACCTCACACTGGGAAAGCATTAAGAAACCTTACAATCTGCCAAGATAGCAAAAAATTTGATAGTAATCATAGTTTTCAAATTACATCAATATCGACAACACTGTATTCATTTAGATTAATCTAGGCATATATCGATGATTCGAAAAACTACAAAACTAATTTGAAATTCCTCCAAATCATTGGATAGGAGCCAATGAGGAATTCCCATGCTTCAAATAAATGACAACCCTGATCTGCCCCTTCAAGATCACAAAACTCAAAAAATCCACCACAAAAGCAGATAAAAATAATAGAGCATCTCTACCCCATCAAGCCAATAGAGGCCCACTACCTAGGCAGACAATTCATTAACACCTAAAAGAACCATAGTAGCAGTAATAACACTTATTAAATCGCCTTTACCTAGTTTCACAACCTTCATGATCCATAACCTTGTCCAAGTGATGCCAAAGCACTTAAGTGTAATTTCATAGTTTCATATTTGCTCCTTCCCTCATCGCAGAGAAGGAATCACCAAACGAGGCAACAAGACATGTAAATAAGACCAACTTAAGCATCATCCTTTCTCATTGATGTAACTAAGATTTTTGTGCACGTTCGTATGTACTAGATCCAAACATGAAAAATAAGAGCTAATATGCAATCTATGACTGTCACATACTATAGTTTAACCCTTCTTACACCAATGGGGAAACAATTAAAAGCAAAAGGATTTAATGTGTGGCTGATAATTGAAGCAGTAAATAGATAATTTGAACATACCTTCAGCCTCAGTGTACCTGAAGAAGTCTTGCACAGAAAACAACTTTTTCTTGTCAGGAATGTCTTTAGAAGAGCGTCCAAGATGAGGCACAAGCTCGATAAGTTCTGAAATCGAAATGGTTGACAGTGTTGATTTCAAGCGCTCGACATTAGAAAGAGGGATATTAAGCAGCCCACTGGCTAATTTTTGAGCTGTTAACCCTCCTGATTCCTCACTATTAGTAGCAGACACATTATCATCCCCATCTTCTTTCACTTGAGATGTAACTCCAACAAGGGTAGATGGTGCTCCACCCACTCTTGCAAACTTTAAATTTCCTAAAAAGACATTCATATCTGCCTTCTTACCCTCTAAGATACTAGTCACTGTCTTCCAGTGATCCAAGTGAGAGGGGAATTGAGGTGGGGGTGATGACGATTCATAAAACCGTTCCTCATTTTGTTTAGCAGCATGATCAAGCTTTTGCAGACTCTGTGTTATCTGATCAAAAATGAGAGCTACCACCAGCTCAAGGCTTAAATGTTTCCCTTCATTGCACTTTTCCTCTCTTGGCAACATCATAACAAACATACCCTTTTTCGGTTCATTTTTCTTCAAGTCACATAGATCTGATGATTTTGATGAACGGACACATGAAGCCTTTTCCTCATCACCCGTCTTTGAGCACCGCTTCTTTCCTAATTTAAAAGGCGTGGGAAATGCCTGTGCAAAACCATTGAGAAACATCGACCATGTCATAGCAAACTGCAAACAGTTCAAGCACGATCCGTCCTTTTTTGCCCACTCCCTTTCTTTTGGCTTTTCCTTTAACACATTGACCTTAGGATCAGCATTGGCACAATTTGGCGAAAACATGCCCAATATACTCTTTATTGGTAGCTTTATCGACGGTCCTTTTCTCTTATCCTCATTAGAACAACCATGGGAAGGGGTACTTTTCTTCTTTGACACAGATGAATGAAGTTTACTGTTCTTACTACTGACACCAGTATTGCTAGAACCATTCAACTGCCCTAAAAGTTCAGCATTTCGATTGCCATTCTTGCCCAACCAAGTTAACTCAAACTCCTTAGTAGCCTTTCTAAAACCCGCTTCTAGCGGTGAAAAAGCATCTTTAACAACTTGAATTGAATTAAGTAATGATTCAACAGGGTCATTCCCAGACACCATCCCTAAATCTTCAATCCCCTCTATTAATCCAGAATTCAGAAATTACAAATTCAACAATCACAAGTTACAAACCCTTCACAAATCAATAAATTAATGAACTCCAATCAGCAAACACTTTTCAACATCAACATCCAAATACAAGAAATGAGATCTTCCCAGCAAAAATCAAACAAAATAGCAAAACCCCAATTAATTCCAGCAAAGATTGAAGAAATTAATGCAATTCAATCTCAATGTAACAGATTACTTGGATCCCATAAACAAAAAACTTCCATTTTTACCGACAAATAATGCTCTAGAACTGCAAAAATCAACTTCTGTTGACAAATTAACAAAATGAATACACCTGAAATTCAAGAAAAACAAAAGGGTATAGCTTAAATCCAACTATTAATTCCAGCAAATTGAAGAACACAAATTATTGCAAATTTTCATATTTTTTTTTTTTATCTACTGTATTAAAGGAGGGAGAAAGAAAAGTGCTCACTAGATAAAGTTGTGAGGATATGAGAGAGAAAATCTTATGATGATAAGAATTTGGGATTTCCCAGAAATTTTCAGACAAAATCAAATGAGCAAAAACAAGAATTGTGGTGGCTGGGAGTGAGAGAGATTAGCCCTTTTTTGGGTGTTAATTTATTTTTATTTTTTATTTCTCTCTGATTTGGGGGAAATATTATTTTTATTTTTTCAATTCTATTTTTCTCCACCTTTCTTTTACTGTTTGTTTTCTAGTAGAGATATAAGTAAAAAAAAAAAAAAAGAAAGAAAGAAAGAAAAAGAGATTAATTAAAATTGCATGAAAAATATTTTGTTTTTCTGGATAATTGGATAGACATGAAAGTGTAAACATGAGGAGATGACACGTAGGATTGACATTTTGTTGACGTTTGCAGTTTTTTTATTCTCAGCAGCAACTTAACCTCCATGGCTCCATGTTTATCCAACGTGTTTGATTGATACTCCATAATTTGACAAAAAGACTTGCGTGGACCTGGTCCACAGTAATATTATTGTGGACCCGAGGTCTATACACACGCAACTGACTTTATATTGAACATAGTGACCATTATTTTTAACATAGTAACTTTATTTTTAACCTAGTAACCTTTATTAAAACTAATACAACGTTTAATAATATTGTGAACTTGAAATACGACGCTATTACCCTAATTTTAACATAGTGGCCTTTATTATTCATATTGATCAGTATATAAAATATTTCATTAAAAAAATAACCACTTAGGCCTATATATTACCAAAATGATTTTTATTTCAATATAGTGATTTTTTTAAATTATAGTGACCCTTTTTTTTATTAATAAAACAACCACACTTTTTCTAATGTTAGTGGTCCATGATAAATTAGTGTGAACCAGGTTCATTTAAGAATTTGTTATAATTTGATAGGACATGTAATAAGGGACTATGGGTCCAATTCGGTTTGGTCAACCTAAATTGTGGTTAGCGGTATCAATTCAGATGTTTAGGTTGGATTCAGTGAACCCAAATTAAATTGGATTTATTTCACATTTAAATTATGGTGTCCATACAAATCAAGATTTGTATTGAGCTTTATTCAGGTTGATTTTGTATCGGGTCGATCAGATCAGTTTTTGGCACTTGTAATTGTGACAAACTAACAACCATACAGTTAATCATTCTATTGTTGTTCAAAAATTGTTCGGCTCTTTTCAATGATTACACTTTGACCTTTATGGTTTTCAATGCACATGTTTGATTACGTATGTACACAATATAGTTTAAGTAAAAAATCTTAAAAATTTAACATTTTGAAAATTCACGAAGCCAACAACGTCCTACTCCATACATAATACTCCCTCTGTTTTTATTTAAGTGTTCTGGTTATGCACCACTTTGACCAATGTTTGCGTTTTACACATAAGATTAAATATGATCATGTGAGTGTCTATTAATTAAATACTCCGTATTAGGGGTAATAATCGTAATAATTTATCAGTTTTAGGGGTAGTAAATTAGTACTCCGTAATTAACAACTTTTTTAGGAGTTGTAACTGACATGGGTCCTATTAACTAGTTTTTAGGCTCGGGTAATTCCCCAAATTACTACATTAATTCCATGATTGAAATCCTTATTAACATTTGGTTTTGGTAGAATGACATTGAATTTGGTGATAGTTTGGTGGCTAGTACTTTAGTTTTTAAACTTAAGGTTGTGGGTTTGTAGTACTACTGTAGACCTATAATATTACTCCGTAGTACATTTGTATTTCTTATTTTTAAGAGGGTTTTCTCAAAAATAAAAAAGAATTTAAGAGGGAATCTTGCTTTCTTTGAAAAATTGTATACTTAATTATTTATTCCAATAATAGATTTTTTTTTTTTAAAAAATACCCAAAAATGTGAACAATATACGAAGTATTATGTTGAGTTTGAATAAACATTCGCTTGGAGAGTTGGAGTAGTTAACTAATTGCTTGTATATTGATTGCCATTAATCAATCAATGATAGGGGTACATGACGCACTCTTTAAAAACTCGACAATAAATGGTGAAAATTCCATAAAGATTTCCATTCCAAATAGCTTAAGTTTAACAGTACTACAATATTGCAATAACAAACATGATATGATAAGAAAATGAGAGCAATTCATATCAATAAATCTGGTGTTTATACCAGTCAAATAGTGTACAAGTTCGAAAATTGCAGCCAACTACAACAACCTGTATATACTCATTCACCTTTGCTTTTCCAAAGGAATTCCAAAAAAAGGGTATTTGAGTTCCTTCACCAACTTTGAAGACACAGGCGCAGGCATCTAGCCATGGTTTTGGTGGAGGGACGGGAAAATAATTTTATTTCCGAGGATTAAAACAAAATTAGAATGCAGAGCCGCTGTCTTTGGGCTTCCCAACCATCATGTCCTTTGCTTCATTGATTTTAGAGGCAAGATAATGGCTTCCTCCGGCATCAGGATGGTTTGCGATCATTACCTTTCTATGAGCTTCCTTGACCTTCTCTGCAGCTGCACTCTCCCTGCCATTTTAAGGTCCAAAGAAGTACATTGAAAATTAAAACTTGGGAAAGAAAGAAGAAAAAAAATGTGACAACAACCATATTTCCACAAAACAGGAAACCTTATACAATTAAATAAAAAAAGAAGTAACAAATGTTGGCTAACATATACTCCGTATACATGAGAGACTATAGATAATAGACATTACAGTGACAAAGATGCTTAGAAATTTAAGGAGAGAAGCTAAGTGACCATTAACCTTCTTTGGATCCCACTACGTGGCAAAAGCTCGAAAGTGAAGAATTGGCATCATTAAAGGTTCTTACAGCAACATGAAAATGTTTCTAGTTATCCAGAAAATACCAAACACTGAAACACTATGATCGTAAAATTAAAGGGGCATTGCAACATTTAAGCTATAACTATGGAAATGTGAATAGGAGAAAAATTCACTTAAGTCACACAGAGCTTGAGAGGCGACATGCAACATTTAAGCTACTCTTAATCTTGCGAAACTGATATTGCGCACAAGCACAATAGGTAAGCACAAAACTTATACCAATGAAATTGTTCTCATTCCAACATTTTTTGACTTTCAAGGAAAAGGGAGAAAAAAAAAAGGGGGGGGGGGGGGTTGGGAAATAGCAATCCTATGCATTTATTAGAGTATTCTTAGTACATAAGTAACACTATACCTCCTCTATTCTTAAATACTTGCAATAGTTTAACTTTTGATTACATTTTTTAATTAATACATAAAAATCAAATGTTATTGTGCAATATGTTGTTAGACTAATCTCACTCAATACATGACTTTCTAATATCAGTGTTGCTTATAGTTTTAATTTATATATAATTGCGTATATTTATAGAAAGTTGTGTATTGGCTTGTGTGCCAGACTGCCAGTCAAATTGTTGCAAGAAATTATGAATAAAAGGACTATATTGGCAATATTATCTTCTACATCAATATGATGATAAGTTGTGCTGTTATGGATTAAAGCAGTGGCTCCTTCACCCAAATTTCACTAATTTTATTTTTTCTAAACTTATTAGCCCTAAAGTTATATTATCTGACGTTAAATAAACTTAATTTTTATAAACTTATTAAGTATCAACTCTAAACTTATCCTATCTGAACTTAGCTTATAATGAACTTACCAGACCTAAAGTAAGTGAAAATAAGGTAGGGTGAATAGAGCTTTGAGAAAACCTAAATAAACTTCACAATATAGCAAGAACTCAAATAAATTGATGTAAAACGATAACATAGCTAATTAAAGAATTTTTTTATGAATTGAGCTCTACTAGATATAAAAGTATAAAGCAAAGCTTTGATCTAGGGAGTTCAAAACTAGACTAAGCTAGCAGCAAATTAATTTATTGCCCCTTTTGCACCCTTCATTTTAGGTTAAATTAACATTAGACAATTAGTTTTGCAAATTACATTAACTTTTACAATAACCTAGCTTACTAATACCTATTCTGTCTTTCAGTTAATTTTTCTACTTGTACATGCACAGACCTTAGCACCATTGCTTAGTTAAAAACTTCACAATGTAACAAGAATTCATATAAAACAATGTGAAACGATGACATAGTTAAATTAAATTTTTTTTTTCATTTTAGGTTAAATAACATTAGACAATTAGTCTGCAAAGTAACTTACAATAATCTAGCTTACTGGTATGTTTTCGGTCTTTTAGCTAATAATTAAACTTGTACTAGATTAAGTGTTCAGCTAACTAGTCGTGCACAAACCTTAGCACCATTGCTTAGTTATAAAAATTGTGACAGAAACTTCTTAACCCATGCAAGAAAAACTTCAATTGCATAAGAATCTAAAAGTTATCACAACTACCTTATGCCAAGGATAAGAGCCGCTTCCCTCCTGGTCATCTTGGGTTGAAAACCACCTTCAAAAAACTTTCGAGGTCTTGGTGGACGTGCCTTGTATGCTTGCCAAGCTTGAATTCCATACCTACCAGCAAGAGCAGCGGCGGCAACAGTCATCCCAGCAATTAAAGGAGCTGCCTGGAAACATTCGGCATTTAATATCAAACTCTAAAGTTGACAATAAGATTGCTTCACGAGGGACAGTCACTTCAAATCTCAAACAACCAATGTCCAAAAGGTTCACATTACGATGGAATTTTCAAGAGTACACAAGTCCCAACCACCAAAAGAATCCAAGATAGGAAAATATATTCTAATCAACACACAAGATCAATCTTCAAACTATATAAATAGAATACAGCAATTTCGGGAGCATGCTTTGAATCTTCACACATGAAAGCACAAAATTGAGTCAAAATGCTGATAGCATGATAGAAGAACAAAAAAGGGAAACATTACTTTTAAAGCCCTGAGACTCTGAGAAATCTATATAATAACAATTCAAGAAATCCTTATTTTTATCAAACGGCAACACTTGTTATATTATAATTAGGTTCTCTTACACTGAATATTCAATAATCTATTTCGTCGAAGTGCCTTTCAAGTAAAAATCAATATCTTCATCACAAAATAGGGAATGTAGCACAAGGTGTTCAGTAACCATACTGCTAATGATGATTAATCAAGTATTAACAATCGACAACTTTATCTAGAGTGTATAAATACAAGAAATACCCTGAAATCAAAGTTTATAGTTACTTTGCAATGAACAGATACTGAAGATGTACTAAGCTAATCAAGACAGCAAGTATACGGTTCGTTCGTGTGTCCTTGAACCCAAATACAAGTTATTATAAAGGAGTAAAACCCATAGCAATTGTAGAATCCTACAGCCTAAACTGCCTTTCACAAGATTTGCCCTTCTTTCCTTTTCTCCCCATTTGTTGGGAATTGGTTATGGGTATGATTTATATTTCCTACACGGGCCAATCTGACCGACCCGAATCCACTGATGCCATACCCCTCCTCACCCCAACCATCAAATCCCAAAACAAATATTGCACACCCCTCACTACCTAATCAACGTAGTGAGGTGGAGATTGTGCTTAATGCTATTAGAGCAAAAGCTCACTTTACAACTCAAACCTCAACTACTTCAACAGAAAATCCGAGGTTTACAGCTAAATTTACAGCTTATAACGTCGACAAGATCGAAATAAGTGTAGAATTCACATATTATTCTCCTAAATTACACATGAGTTGCAGACACAAAACTAATTATTCCAAACTCAACCCAAAATGTGAAGGGAAACCCCACATTGAACAGAAACAGAACAAGTTCGCACCAATTGGAAAACCTAGCAGAAACACCCAAATCAACCAAAAAAAAAAAAAAAAACAATCCCACTATAAAACTTCCACAAATAAATCAACCAAATTCTTAAAACCCCTAAAAAACCGATTTTTTCTAACAAAAACCCCACAAAACAAAGCAACAAACAGTTAAAATGCTACACAAAACCCTCCACAAATCTTCTGCAGAAGTGAAATTCATGAAGTCCCCATTAATTTTAACTTAAAATCACAACAATTTATCAAACAGCTGCAAATTTATCTATCATAATTCATTACCAATTGATTGAACGAACAATTCAAATTGCAACAAAAACAGCTAAAAATTTTAACAAAAAAAAAGATTAAATGAAAAGAGATTACTAACCATTTAATTTATGGTGAATCTATGAAAACAGCTTTGGATTTGCAGTCTTTGGTTTGTAAATTTGTACTCTGTAAAATTGATGTTTTGTGTTTCTGGGAAACAGAATAAGAGTATTTGCTAGAAAGTTCAATGTCAATTGTCAAACTACCAACGTCTATTTGATGGGCATCAATTAAGTTTGAGAGTAGTGTGGCCCAAATTTTATTTTTTTTTTCCCTAAGAAGTGTGCCCAAATTTTATTTTGTTTTTTTTCATAAGAAGTGTGGCCCAATTTTTTATTTTATTTTTTTCATAAAAAGTGTGGCCCAAATTTTAATTATTTATCTTTCTCATAAGAAGTGTGGCCCAATTTTATTTTATTTTTTCATACGAAGTGTGGCCTAAATATATAAGGCCCTCTAAAATCTCTTTCAACTGGGCCTTCCTGGCTCGATTGGGAAAATCGTTTCTAACATACTTTTTTCGCTTCGGATTAAGTGTATTAGTTTGACTTAATCTGTTGATGAACGAAAAACAAATCATTATTCATTATATATTTATTGTTATTAGAAAAAATTATACGGAGTAAATATAATTGATATTATGAAAATAGCCCCTATAAACCCAACAACATATTAGACAAATTATTACACTTATTCTTAGATAGATGGAGTTCAAGACTTTATGCATCTAAAATGAATATACAAATGTGTTTTGCGATATTAATAACACCGTGGTAACTAGAGTGTAAAAATAATCATAAGTTTTATACAATTATGCAACTCTAAGTCATGTGTTTAACCATTAAATAAATAAGCATAGAGGCGCACGCAATGCGTGCACGACTATCCACTCTCCCTTCCCAAATTTAGCTGAAAACATTTTATGCATTTTTTTTTTTAACTAACTTAAAAAGTTACACCTGATTAAGGGATTTTGCTCTCACCAATCGGAATGCGCCACGTGGGCCAATCAGGTCCTGCCACGTGTCCTCTAAATGGACCTGTCAGAGCCTGCCACGTGGCACGCGCCTATTTGTCCACCATGGACCTATTATGTCACGACACGTGGCATCCTCCATGCCAAATGGAAAAACTGGCCACCTAGGCCCAACTTTCAAGGGAAGCCCAATCAGCCCTAGGTTAACCTAAACCTAGGATTGGCACGCTTCCCAAGGTTATAAATACCCTCATTGATCCTCATTAAAGGGGATTACGCTCATTAACTACTCTCACCTAGAGAGCAACACTTGACCTTTCCGCATTAATTACTCCTTAAACAAGTACTAATTTGACCGTCGGAGGCGGAGCTCCAACCACTAGGAGTCTCCGTTTGTTTTGCAGGTACAGGCGTCCGGTTCCAGTCTCGGAATTGTAACTCTCCCGCAGGACATCAGAAAACCCCGAAACATTTTGGCGCTGTCTGTGGGGAGAGTACTTTTGGGATGGCTTCAACGTCTGTACCAGAGGAGAGGCGTCCACTGGACGACCCTCAAGTCTACTCAAATCATGATACTGAGGATGAAGTTGAGGTTGAAACACACACAGCCCCAGACGGGACCCTAAGGGCCCGACGCACCCGTCACACCGAAAGGAAAGAACGGGTAGATCACCAAGCTGGACCCAGTAATCCAGCCGGCACACTGCCTGATCAGCAGCAGGCGGCTGAAGGGTCTGCTCCTATTACAAGAGATGAACTCATGATCTTCATGAGGGGCTTCAAGGGGGAGATCCAAGAACTGATCAATAAGAAGACACCTGCTCTGTCTAAGGAGCAGTCGGCTAAGAAACCTTCCCATTCAGGAAGAAGGAAGCCTGTTCAAGGACGAGAGGCGACCCCTCACCCTAACTCTAGGAAGTGGGAGCCGTCTGTGCTTGACTTGACAAAGTACCGTTTTCCCTCACCAGGGAAGAGAAAGCCCATTCGTCATATACAGGCGGACAGGTCAAAGAAAACATACTCGGACGCTCGGCTATTGCTAGAGCAGAAGAGGAACGACCGACTGTCAGAATCGACCTCCACTTCAGACTTCCAAGATAGTCTGCACAATACCTCTATGAGGTACACTCAGTCAAATCATGAGAGTCAGACAGGCGGTACCTCCCGTCGGTCTGGATTTCATAAAGACCAGGCGGTACCAAATTTACCAAATGTACCGCAACAACAATATTTTTTGCAGCCACCTCTGTTTGGTGGACAGACGTCAAAAAATGTCCAGCCTTTGGACTGGCAACTACGGTTGCTAAGACTTGGAGAACAGCCGTCCGCTTTCTCCAAGGAAATTATTGAGGCCGCCCAGCCAGCCAAAGTTAAAAATGTGCTAGTAGGCGCCTATGATGGCACTACTAACCCTGAAGACCATTTGATGGCGTTCACCAATCTAATGTACCTCCAAGGGTTGGATGATCCCACTTGGTGCAAGTGTTTCCCAGCGACTCTCAAAGGAATCGCACAACAATGGTTCGGCAACCTGCCGACTGGTTGTGTGAACAACTTCAGGACGCTTGCTTACTTATTCACCTCCAACTTTTCCATGAACATACCTGCAAAGAAGACGACCCTTGATTTAGGGACGATTCAGCAAGGTGAGAAGGAGGGGCTCCGTTCATACATCAGGCGGTTCAACCTGATGAGGATACAGATTCTACCGGATGAGGTGGCTTACATTGACTTTTTCAGAGGTCTCAAGGATGGGTCGACCTTCAAGTTTGACCTGGTTCGAAAGAGGGTTGCGACTCTTCAAGAAGCTTTGATTGAAGCAGAAGCCTATATACAGGCGACTGATCTCTGTAGTACCGGAAAGCAGTCGGACGGAAGGAGGTCCAACAAAAAAGAAGGTCGACCAAAGCAGTCGGCCAATAAAGATGATAAAAAGAGAAAAGAGGTCTGGGCGGCCGATTCCTCTAAACAGCCGGCCCAGAAAAAGAAGAAAGAGTTCAAACCATACTCTCCGAAGTATGCGTTCAACAAGGATAGTCAAGCTATCCTCAAATAAATCAAGGGTCGGATCTCAATTGAGAAGCCGGCCCCCATGAAGGGTTCCGCGAGCAATCGGAACCAAGACAAATTCTGCCATTATCATGAAGACGTTGGTCATGAAACCAACGAATGCATCAGTCTCATGCGCTACCTAGACCGCCTGGCTGAACAAGGCAACCTTGACTCCTATGTCAAGAAGTCTAAGGGGAACACTTCCTCCAAGAACAAGCAATCGGCCAAAAAGAATCAACAGGCCGACAGCTGTAATACAGATGATGCAGTCGTCTACACGATTGCATGCGGCTTCTCAGGAGGCGGCCCCACTATCAAGGGCAATAAAGATAATATCAGGCGGCTAGATGTCAATTCCGTTCATCAAGAACGTTCCTCCAAAAGTTCATTCCCAGAGATTGTAATCACAGAAGAAGATCTGGGAGGGGTAAAGGGGCTGCATGACGACCCTATTGTTATTGAATGCAAAGTGGCCAACCAAAGGGTTGGCCGAATCCTCATAGATACCGATAGTTCCTCCGATCTTATCAGCAGCAAGTGTCTGTCAAAACTCAAATACAAGACTGATTGCATACATCCGGTATCCCACCCTCTAGTAGGGTTTGGAGGAGGAGTCGTACACCCAGTAAGGCGAGTGGATTTACCCATCCGCCTGGGTGAGAAAGGGGAGGGTCGCCACATGGTGGTCCGGTTCCTAGTAGTTGAGGAACTCTCGGCCTACAACATGATCCTGGGACGACCTACCTTAAATAATTCAAAAGCTATCATTATCCCATCTCTTATGCTGCTCAAATTTGAGAAGGATGATGGGACAGTCGGCTCCCTAAGGGGAGATCAGAAGATGGCTCGGGAGTGCTACCTCTCGGATATCAAACCCACCGTAGTGGCCGCAGGGCCAAGTGGTGAAAAAGCGGACCTTGAAATTGTTAAGGAGGATGCGCCTGCTCAAGAAGCAGGCGGCAAGAAAAGAAAGGCTGTCCAGTTGGGGGTCGAAAGAAAAGAAAGAAGATAGCAATCACTGATAGAGGAGCGGTCAGACGAATTCCGCCCTCAGCCGGCTGGTGAGCATACAGACCTTGTCCTGGACGACTCGCGTCCTGACCGAACAGTCAAGGTTGGGACGACTGCTCTTAAAGTTCTGGGTGAAGATTTTCACCAACTTTTGAAGGAATTCAAAGACATCTTTGCATTCGAAGTTCATAAAATGCCAGGCATCAGTCCTGACCTGGCGGTACATAAACTAACCGTGGATCCGAAAAAGAAGCCGGTAAGGCAGAAGAAGCGGAACCATGGCGAAGAGAGGAGTCAGGCAGCAGCCGTCGAAGTTAAAAAATTGCTTGACGCAGGGTTCATTCGACAATGCTACTTCCCAGACTGGGTTGCAAATGTTGTACTTGTTAAAAAGCCGAATGGTACCTGGCGAATGTGTGTGGACTACACGGACCTAAACAAGGCGTGCCCCAAGGACAGTTATCCTCTGCCCAAAATTGACAGTCTGGTCGACTCAACAGCCGGCCATGCTTTGATGAGCTTCATGGACGCCTACTCTGGCTTCCATCAGATTCCTTTGTGGAAGAAAGATCAGGAGAAGACGTCCTTCGTCACTGATCAGGGGCTATATTGCTACACGGTCATGCCGTTTGGTCTGAAGAATGCCCCGGCCACCTTCCAAAGAATGATAAATACTGTCTTCTTTGACCAAATTGGGAGGAACGTCGAGGCATACATCGATGATATGATTGTTAAGTCCAAGCTTCGGACGGATCATCTGTCAGACCTCCAGGAAACATTCACCACACTCAGGCGGCACCATGTCATGCTCAATCCCAAGAAATGTGTATTTGGGGTTGAGTCTGGTAAGTTTCTCGGATTCCTCATCAATCAGAGAGGAATAGAGGCGAACCCTGAGAAAGTGCAGGCGGTCATCGACATGCAGTCGCCTCGCACCGTCCGAGAGGTTCAGAAGTTAACAGGTTGTCTGGTGGCTCTAGGAAGATTTCTCAACCGGTCAGGCGACAAGTGCCTTTACTTTTTCCAGGCTATAAAGAAGAAGGCAAGGTTTGAATGGGGGCCGGATGCTGAGGTGGCCTTCCAAAAATTGAAAGTTCACTTACATTCCTTGTCGAGGCTGGTCAGTCCTTTGCCTAAAGAAGTGCTTTACATGTACCTGGCCGTTTCTGACCATGCTCTAAGCGTTGT